GAAGAGCTAGTTTTTATAACATAGCTCTGATTGATATTCACCTTCAAGAAGACGTCACTGAAAATAAGGGTGCTGCAGCAAAGTGTGGTGAAAAAAGCAGATGGTGCCCAGAAATCAACTGGAATAGTGTCCTAGTGTCTGAGTTCCTAGATGCTTGTACTCAAACAAGCAGCCATCTAAGTGAGACGTCAACTAAGTCCACATGAAGGAAGCACACCAGCCAGGGTGATTCAAAGATGATTGTCCAAATATGACGAAGGAAATGGTATCAGAGCTTAAATTTTGGACACCCAATTTAGTAGAAGGTTAAGGAGGACAGTGGGAGCCCAAAATCCATCTGCAGAGTACCTGGTCAGATTAAACCCCTGCCGATGCCCTCTGGCCACAGGCCAGGGACTGGAATGGCTTGACTATCGGACAGAGACCATGGTAAACTTGATCATGGTGGATCAGACTACGGTATAATATGCTACTTGGCCAGTCGACCTCCCTCTTAACCCTACCTAAATATTTCTTGCTTGTTCCAGGACAGAAATTTCTTTCTCTGGCCTTTTAAATATTGTTGGTGGTCTTTTCTTTCTTTTTCTTTTAAAAATTTTTCATAATTATTTTCTTTTTCTGCTTTGTTTTGTTTTTGCTTTTTATTGCTTATGTTAGGTTTCTTAGTTTATGAAACCAGAAGGAATGGATGTATACAGACAATAACAGATGCAATGGTTTATCGGGAAGTGAGGAAGGTAAAGGGAATAGGGAGCAGACAATGACTATTGGAGGGGGAGGGAGCACTAGAATGGATTGTAATGACGTGTATACTCTTTTTAAAAGTGACTGTACAGTAAGAAAAAGTTTTTTTTAACTTCTTTTAAAATGAAAAACAACCTCACAGCTATTGTGTAGATCCAGGTTCATAGTGACCCTAAACGGCAGAGTAGAAGTGCCCTTTTGAGTTTCTGAGGCTGTAAACCTTCACAAGAACAAAGAGTCTCATTTTTCTCCCATGGTGGATTCAAACTGCTGGCCTTGCCCTTAGCAGACCAAAAAGAAACTCACGGTGCCCCAGGACACCTTTCTTTATAAAAAGGACACTGCCAAGAAGTCGATGCTGACTCGTCGTGACCCAGTGAAAGAAAGCCACAGGGGAAAGCCCTCCCCGGAGTGTGTGGTGGTTTCAAACTACTGACCTTGTAGTTAGCAGCCACACCATGATGCTACCAGAGCTTTTCCTTTATAAAAGGTATGCCTACAATAAAATATCACAGAAAAGCTAGAAATAAAGAGACAAATGACATACCAATTATAGATGAAACAAAGGGTGGACGGGACAGGTGTGGAGGTGCACTTAACCTTTCTCCTCCAATTAAATGTTATTCATCCGAATTCCATTTCAACTTTGACCTCCCAGATGACATAAGACATCTGGCTCAATCTCTAGATGTTCTGATTTAGCAAGTAGGGGTTTGGAGAAACTATGATTTTATTTCTGCATATGAAGCTGATGTTGAACCATGTTTGCACTTCCACAGTATGAGATTTTAATGCATTTATTTCCTGAGCATTGTAATTTAGACCTTGGAAACGATCTTGTCTGTACTATGCTATTATTTTATACAGGTATTTTACATTATTGAGATGGATTTTTTTTTAATTTTTGTTTTGTTTATTTTCAGCATTATTTAAACAGATATTCCTGAGCCTAATTAACTGTGAACCTCAACAGAACCCGGAATGAATGAAGAATTAACAAAAGATCGGTTTAAGAGGTCTGTTGGACGCAATATTTGGTGATATTTATAGGTTGAAATACAAGGAATTGGCTATTTAGTCAAGTACAAATGATTTGTTCACACTGGTGGTGTTGTTAGATGCCCTGACCCATGGTGACCTTGAGGACAACAGAGTTGAGCCCATTGTTGCAGCCACTGTGTCAATCCATCTCCTTGAGGGCCTTCCTCTTTGTCAATGCCCCTCTACTTTACCAAGCACGAGGTCCTTCTAAAGGGACTGGTCTCTCCTGGCAATATGTCCAAAATACGTAAGGCAAAATCTTGCCATCCTTGCCTCTAAGGAGCATTCTGGCCATACTTCTTCCAAGACAGATCAGTGTGTCCTTTTAGTAGTCTACGGTACTTCCAATATCCTTCTCCAGCACCGCAGTTGGCACGCACTGACTCTGCTTCAGTCTTCTGTATTCGCTGTCCAACTTTCACATGCACTTGAGGCAATGGGCAAGACCATGGCTTGGGTCAGGCGCACTCTAGTCCTCAAAGTATTGTCCTTGCTCTCGATGCTCTAAAGAGGTCTTGTGCACCAGATGTATCTTCTGCCAGATGGCTTTTGATCTCTTGACTTGTTTCCATGAGCAAAATACGTTGTTCAAATACAATGTCCCAAGTGTCCTTCTATTAACTATAGGTCTCAAATAGATTTTTTTAAATCACTGTAAGAATCAATTCTAGAGGAACTAAAATGTGAGTTGGGGAGGAAAACATAGCAACAAGATCAAACAGCTATAAATGAGATGGCACAATGGGAAAATGAATGAATTCTGTTTTTTCTTAGATTTTCCTGCCAGGGAACAAACAGAAGCATGAATTGTTAAAATGATTCATATATACACTCTCAAAATTCTACTCCAGATTAAAATAATGGATATTAACCCATGGCCATTCTCCTACCATGGAAACCATATTGTATAGAGACCCCATGTCTTCCATAATATGTATCTAGCCATCTGTACAGTCAATACATAGTTCTTATTTGATATATATATAATGTATATCTATATACATTACAAATGTTATAAAATACACATTTCTAATTTATTGTAGCTCCTAAACCACTTGGCATCGGATATCAATACCTCTATAGATGTAGCAGAAACCCTAGAGAATTGCTCTACTCTGTTCTGTAGGGTTGCTATGAGTCAGAATCAACTCAATGGCAATGGGCTTATAGAAATAACAAGTTCAGAAGCACTAACACCCCCCACATATATTTTTCAGACTCTCTCTTCTCTCTCTTACACACACATTCTCTCTCTCTCTCTCTCTCATAAACATGACAGAAAAATACAAACCAAAATTGACTAAATAATATATTTATTATTATAATCATATATTAGCTAACTGGTAGGTGAAAAAGAGAAAATAGTAAACCTCTAGCTATTAAAATAACAATTGAATATATAAAAATTCAGTTTCTCAGTGTAAATAACAGGACATTCAAACACAGCTAGTGTAAATGTAAATTGATACAATTTACCATAGATATGAACAATAAAGACCTGGCAATTCCACTCAAGAGAATTACCCTGTGGATATATCCCAACCGAAAAGTACAGATGCAAGAAAAATTCTCAGTCACATTGTTTATAGTAGGAAAACAAACAAATAAAACTAAAGATAATCTCAATATTCACAACTAAGGGTGTGATTAATTAAATGTAATTCTATGAAGCCATTAAAAACAATGAGGTAGTTCTGTTTTTATGGACATGTAAAGTTTTCTCAGACATTATATCATTAGCTTGGTATAAATAGAGGAAAGTATCTACACTATGTTGCCATTCATGTCTTGATAAGGATAGAAATATGTACATGTAAATAGACATAAATGCACACATAGATCGATAGGTATAAGATGTTAAATGTGCATAGAAAAGTTCAGGAAATGTTTTAAGTTTATGAATATAAGAAACTATAGATAACATTGCCCAACAGCAAAAAAAAATTTTTCTGGGTATCTTGGTTTTTATCCCTGTTTCTTGGGGTAGGTGAGGCCCTGATGGAAGATTGCACTGGATAGATCACATCAGCTCTAGTTTTGTAGCTATATTTTCAGCTATTAAGTGACACAAATTTATGGATTTATCATTCTAATTTTAACTACGAGAAGAATTCAGACCCAAAAATTACAGGAAAAGGCAACAAAGGTAAGAAATATTTGAGAAATAATTAGGCATTAAGGGACTTCCACGGGAAGCTTCACATGGTGGCTAGCTGGTTACTAGTGAGCTGCCAGTCATAAAGTCAGTGACCCTAGCGCATCTGTCACTCTGCAGCCTCTGCAAGCTTTCAGGAGGCAGCTCTTCTCTGTCCTGTAAGGACACTGTGAGTTAGAATCAGTTAGATGGCACTGGGTTTTTTCGTTTTGGTGTGTGTGGGAGGAGCGGGGACTGTTAAAATATGTACAGAGACTACAAACGGGGTCCTGCAGAGCCAGAACACAGCTCGAGAAGAGTGGAAAAGAAAACAGAACATTGAAAAGGCACACATACGGGGAAGGTGTCAGGGCAATTTAGAGTATTTCTCATAAATATTTTGGAGATCGAAATTTTTCTGCTTCATATTATGCAGTGAACATTTCGGTAAAGACATGGCAATATTGAGAGGTCAATGGCTAATGCAAGTGAAATATTTCAGAAATGAGATTGACTGCACGCTTCTTTATAAGAAACATTCTAAGTTTCTGTGCACAGGTGGTTAAGTGGGGCCATCTTCTAACCAGCCTAGAATACGTGAATGTTAACAAAGGGGGTTGCATTTGGGAACATTTGGATCGCTATTTATTGTACCAAACTCATCGGCAGTCAGTTGCGTATGACTCATAACAAACATATAGAACAGAGAGGTTTCTGAGGTTTTAAATCTTCAGGGGACCAGAAGGTTTTATCTTTCCCTTGCAGAAGGCCGGGTGGGCTCAAACAGCTGACTTCGTGGTTAGCAGTCAAACACATAACGCGCTGCGTCCTCAGGGCTCCTTACTTATTGTACAGTCGCTCTATGTCTGGCCCCTTTTTAAGATCACAAATTGGAACTAACTGCTATTCAATCCCCAATAAAAATGAAATGATACTTGGGGGAAATTCCAAGTCCATGCAATTTTCACTGTTTGAATACATATTTGGATCAAAGGACATGATGTGAAGTAAATATTTAATACAACAAAATTACTTTAAATAAAGCCAGTGTACAGTGCGCTTCCTCTATCTCAGGCTAGCTAACATTAGATTAAAATATCTTTTTTTTTAATGGTGAGCAGAGGGGAGTGGTACCTGGCATTTATTCTGTATCTCAAAATTAAGAGCTGGGAGGGAAAAGCTGGTGTCATTCTTGGAATCAGCAGGATAAATATACCCAGAAACAAGTCTAACACTTGAGGCACCAAAAACATGTGTTGACCAGAGTAATTGTTTCTTTTGCGATTTCTCTTCCTTTCCATAGTAGAGTATGTACTATGCACAGATGGTTAGCTTTTTGGTGAAAAAGATTTTTCCTTGTTTACTGTATAATTTTAATATTTTAACATGAGTATGTGCGTTCTTTGCAAAAATAGCATCCATCATCCAGCGAGCTAACCAGTAGCAGCCACAATTCTAAAGTTCCAATTGCTTAAGGACATCAATGGACGGTCATTCAAGTATCTTTGTCTTCTAGAACCTGTGAAAACCTCTCATTTCAAAAGTGGACATCAGTTCTAGAATAATTGGAAAATTAATGCCATCATTATACTGTATCCGGATTCATCTGTCTTCGTGCTCGATTCCAATAATTCATGAGGCATGGAAATCCATCCTCGCAGCTTCGTTCTGGAGCACATGCGACATCTTCCCTTTGTTTGTAGTATCATACAAGGGATTGCTCTTCTCCATGTAGCAGGCATAGGGCTGCATTTCATCCTAAGAATGAATTCAAAGTCAAAATCAATTTGTAAAAATGACCCATGTTTTTCAAACAGGTGGCTACGGCTTTAGAATACATTAATATGCACATATTTGTGTCTCTGAGCTTATGAGAACAGAAAAGCAAGATTCTCTTATGCTGTTTCATAAAATCGATCACTGCAGTATCAGCATAAAACAACAAAATTGTGTGAGCAGGAATGGAGGATGAGTTGATAGGAGAGCTATTTCCAAAGGGAGGGTTGAAAGATTCCGTGAGCTAATCGTGAGAAGATTAAAGAACACATTTAAAGGCAGGATAGAAGGAAATGGTGGGGTCTCACCAAGGAAAAGGGGAAGTCGGGCATTAGAGATAACAAAGCAAACACGGTGTGTTTTGTAAGATGTAATTCATGAACTCAAAATGTAGAGTTGGCCCTGGTGAAAAACGGCTTGGAAGTTAACTAACAAAAGGACTACAATACCTGATGGTTAGCATTATAAAACCAGAATTTTCACTTTTCAACTAAAATATTAAGAGAGATGTAAACTGCAAATTATGTGAGTAGATTTCCAGGCCATGTAGCTTAATAGTTTGCAAATACTCTATTTTGTCTCACCTCCTCACAATCTTGAGGTCTTTTTGCTTGTGTTGGTTTCCATTTTCTGAAAAACAAAAATAAACATAGGTATGAATAAGACATCTTTTTTAGATAGCAATGGGGGAAATAGTATACTGTTGATATACGTGACTCATTTTGGTAGAAGTCATAATAAATTAGTAACAAATGATCAGAAATGACAAAAATGCTAGTTGTAGTTCATTACACGTAGCCCCAAACAAGACAATTCCAGATTTTAGAAAAGGAATTGAAACGATTAATTGATGTAATAGAATATTTAATTTAAGCTCAATATACTCAATAGAGTATATGTGACCCCTTCTCTTTGCTACTTGAAAGATTTGCTCTTATTCTTTCTCAAATAGCAAAGGAACTGATTCCATCGCTCCCAAGATCCTGCCTGATGTAGCCTAGTTTATCATGTTGCACGTTTGAATAACCAATAAAGTCTCTGAATTCAAAGTAAGTCAACTCTAGCAGCTTTGAGATACTTCTTGATTATAAGATAACTGACGTTAACATCTAAATGTTACCCAGCTGATCAGTTCCATATTCTTGATTCTTTTCTAGCATCAATAAAGTTAAGAAGAAAAAAAACATCATTCAATACCTGCAGGTGGTGGTTTTGAAAATACAAATAGATAAAATGGTGATGATAAAAATGGCAAAGATAGGAAGACTGATATACAGAGTACTGGAGACGCCTTTAGAGTTTTCATCTGTAAATATAGAAGCAAAAATATATGGTTTAAGAATGTCTCATCATACATGAAATTCATTTTGGTAATCTTATTTTAAATACCTCTGCACCGTTAGCATTTGTGATTGCTGCAATGAACTTGTTTTATCAATTCAGACCCAGAGTTCTCCGAAAGACATCAATTTATGTCAGGAAGAGTCACTTGTAAAGCTAAGGACTGACAAATAGTTTATCCCTGAGGGAGAGACTTGAAATTAGATCTCTGTGCAATCCAGAGAGTTTGTTCATGAAAAATTAGGATTAAAAGATAATGGAACTTTCCCACAAGCTTCTTGGCGCCTCCTCCTGGTTATAAAGCAGCCCTCATGATGCTATTGTTCAGGATTATGCTAGACTATTAGCCAAAAGGTAGGTGGTTTTGAACTCATTAGCTGTTCTATAAGAGAAAGATGTAGCATCTCCTTCCCTATAGATGTACAACCTTGGAAACCCTATGGGGCAGTTCTGCTCTGTCCTGTGCAATTGCCGGGTCAGAATCAGCCTTATGACAATGGATTTGGCTTTTGGTCTTGGGTACAGTGGTAACAATGTGTTTCTCTACGTCAGCATTTAAAAATCGATGGAGGATCCAAAACAAAACAAAACGTAAAACCTGACTGCCGTGGAGATTATTTTGACTCCCAACAATCCTACAGGACAGGTTAGAACTACCCCTGTGGGTGTCCTATAATCTTTACAGGAGCAGAAAGCCCCATCTTTCTCCAGTGACAGGGCAGCTGGATCTGAACTGCCAAGCTTGCAGTTAGCATCCCAACATACATAACCCACTGTGCCACCAGGGCTCTTTAGTACAAGAAAGATCATTGGAAAAAGAATCCTAATTCAGAGATCACCCCACTACCAGGGCACTGACATTAAAATAAAGGCCTGGCAGCACCTGCAACGTGGGTAGTAACTGCTGGTATTGGTGGTTATGGCTCAATGGTAAGAAAATTAAAGCAGATAAGAGGACTAGCTAACAAAAGAGCCACCTGCTGTACTCCTTGTGTTCAGTAAACATGGCTGTGAGCAACAGACGGAGGTGGAATGGGGGACCAGCAGGCTGGTGACCCATCTCTCCACCTTCCTTTGGCAGTTTTTTTATTATGTTTTTAAGTATCGGATGTCTTAGTGTTTCATCTGACAGCTAACTAACGTGGCTTTGAAAGGCACCCTGTAAACAAACGAGGTCTCGTCTCTTAGAAATTGCAGAGGCTGAAGATCTTCCTTGCAGGGAGGATGCAGCAGAGAGCTCTGCACGAGGCCAGAGTCCTGTCCATCCCCACATTCTCTATGTATGACTTCGTATTATAATACCAAACCGTCTGATTTTACATATAACCAGGGCACAATTACTCTTCTCAGTAATCACTGCTAAAGTCTTTTCAATATCTCAGAATTATTTACTTTAAGAATAGATACTGAAGTGCCAGATTAAGTAAATAGATGGTGCTTTGTCCATCTTCTCAAAATGAAAACAGCAAAACAGCAAGTAAGAACATTGAAGCAAGCATATAGCCCGAAAAGTCAACGAGCACGGTGGTGAAGACAAGAGCTGATGAGAGCTTTCAACTTGTCTTTAGGAAAAAGTGGAAAAGAACGATGGCAAGCGGTGGCAGAGTGGAATAAGTTAATTTTTCAGGGTTCACAGAATTCCAGGAACCCTTAGAGGAGAAAACATTCAAGATGGGGAAGGGGAGGCAGGCAGGGAAGTGGGACACTAGGAGTGGGCGCTTGTTGAACATCTGGAGAGAGAGCAGATAGGCTGCCAAGTATCTTGCCCCACGCTGGGCAGTCAACTGAAAAAAGGACATGTAGCCTAGAGAAGATGAATGGGAGAGATAAGACTCAAGGTTCCAGATATAACGGATAGGTGAGATAAGGTGCAAGGTGAGGAGAGGCATGAAAGGCAAGTCAGAGACAAGCGCAGTGAGACCCTTCACTCTTTAATCCCAGAGCACTGACATCAGCCTTCACCCTCCACAACAGGAGATGGGAGAGTGATGTGCTCCGCAGAATCTGAACGGCCTCATCAACAAGACCTTCAGTTGCACGAGAACTCCAATTTTGAAAAAAAAAGGTCCACCAAACAAAGATATCCATGCAGACAATGGGGAGTGGAGGGGAGACCCAAAGTCCATCTGTAGATAATTGGACATTCCCTCACAGAAGGGTCACAAGGAAAGAACGAGACAGACAGGGTGCAGCACAGCCCCGAGGGAATACACAACATTCCTCTAGATCTTTAATGCTTTCTCCCCACCCAGCCACCCACCCCACTATCATGACCCCAGTTCTACCTTACAAATCCAGCTAAACCCCAGCAGGTACAGTGGTACGGATAGGCTCTGGACGCACGGAATCCAGGACAGATAGACCCCTCAGGAAGAGCAATGGGAGTGGCGATACCATAAGGGTAAGTGGAAGGTGGGGGAGGATTGGGGAACGGACTACTGGTGTATTATTTCCCACCCCCTGCCCATGGGGACAAACAAATGGAAAATCAGATACAAAACAACATTACCCTTAAAAAAATCGAACTCACTGCCGCACAGTGAATGCTGACTCCAAGTGATGCCCTGGGGTTTCTGAGCCTGTAACTGTTTATGGGAGTTGAAACCCAGTCTTTCTCCCGGAGCTGCTACTGGTGGTATTGAGCTGCTGACCATGCAGATCACAGCCCAAGGTATAACCACTACGCCACTAAGGCTCCTCTAAACACAGTACTAACCTGAATGTAGTTCTAGAGACAGATTCCTGTTCCCAGTCACGTGGGACACAGAGCAGATCACAGTAGACACGTTGCTGTCCTTCCAGCGGCACTTACTCCGGACAGACACTGTCCCGTTGCCCCGAGTGACTTGCGCAGGGTCGCAGTTCCCCTCCGGGGTCCAGGAGATCTGGGCAGCCGGCTTCCCTGAAAGGGCCTGGCACACTGCAGTTCCAGGCTCGGTTCCAACCAGGCTCACCTCGGGGGGCACTGCAGAGACGTAGGGCAAACATGCTTCAGTGGGAACAGAAGGGACAGATGGAACTTAGACACGTGATTCAGTCCCAGCCTGGCTTTCCGACATGCCACGTGTGTGGTGGTCTTACCTAGCACTCGGAGGTCATAGTGACAGTGGAAATTCCCACCAGGAGTTGCTATTTCACACGTGTATGAGCCATCGTGCATGATGGTGACTGGATCAATCTGAAGCGCTGCGAGGGGCTGCGAGGGGCTGGAGACCCACGTTATTCCCTTAACAGTACAGCTGGTTTCCTTGGTCTCATTTCCAGGCCTCCTGTAGGCTCGGACGCAGGAAGCGCTGTCTCTGAGGACTATCTTCCAAGTTGACATGTAGTCAGTGGTCAGCGGGAGAGCAGGGCAGGAGAGCTCAGCCTTTGTGTCCACCAGCACAGACAGTGACACGTTCGCTGCACACACACACACACACAGAGACACACACACACAGGAGGGTGATTTGATTTTAAAGTTTGACCTAAGAGTCAATGTGTTAAATTTATTGATTTTAACAGCATACCAAAATGTCATTTGGGTGGCAATTTTATATCTAAATAACCAATTAAACATTCGTAAACTGTATATAATATTTCAAGTGTAATACAAAGATCAAAACAACATGTATTATATTGGGGGGGAAATCTTTTGAAATTAATTCCAGAGATTTGATCTCTATATTACAGACAAAATTAGAAAACAGAATAGTAAGTGGAAAGGAAAAGTTTTAAATTTAATCTTTGGATAACAATATTCGTTTTATCGTCTTACTCATTCTCATCAGGAAATAAAATGGATTAATTAACGATGTGGTTTCTGGCTTCTAAATTTGAATACAAAGAAAAAAATAGTAGCATCAGAACTAAATATCGATTCCTGACAGTGGAAGCCAGACACATATACACGTAAAATGCCAAGTATGTGGTATTTCATTAATCATAACTAGGATGAGCAGTGAAATTGAATAAGCTGGAAATATCTTTTTAAGTGTAATTTGAATTCAGAGAACCAGAAAACCAGTGCAAACTTTTGATCTTAAAAAAATTGGTAATTTCATCACTCAGATCATCCACTAAAAATGAAAAATGATCATGTCTCATAGTAAGAGATGCCCAGAAATATCTGTTTACAGTACAAAGGATAAATACAAAACAAAGAAAAGCCAGCAGTGTATTACTTAAAGACGTTTCTGTAAAATGCATGTTCCTGTCTAGGCAAGATAGTGCCAAACAAAGGCTTTGGGTGAGGTTTCCCTTCTTACTCAGTCACACAGCAACTCAGGAAGAGTTCCACTGTGAACTTTGCTCACAGGTTTCGTTGTCATATGTCCAATTCCATGATCAGAGTGGAATACAGAGGCTGGCCGACTTTGTCTATGTTTAACGTGAAAACGAAGGCCTGCAACTTACTGTCATAGAACCTCACACTGTATCGTCAGCTGGCAGAATGCAGTCCTTGACTAACAAGCGTTTGTTGAGACATGATTAGTTCAGACAAGGACGTGTTACAGCCCATCTGTAATAGAAGTCCGTGATCTCGTTGCTTTCACCTGAGCAGAACCAACTGTATAAAGCGAGGCAGAGTTTAGAGGAATGAAGCTTGTTCCTTTAAACACTGCATTTTATATCTTAAGTTCTTCTCTTGATGCTACCTGCCTCTTCTTTAGAGACCAAGACATCCAATTTCACTGCAAAATAAGAACCCATAACCAGATAGAGGAAGAAGTAGGATTTTTAGCTCAGATCTGAGAGGCAAGTAAATCTAGTCTATGTAGATCCACCTCCTTCACAAAGACTTATAAGTAAAAAAAAAAAAATTGACTTGTTTGGAGACCCGTTAGAGACTGTGTTATTCTGGGTCCCTCATACTACCACACTCTTGTCATGAACTTTTCTGTGAGGGACAAGGCTGGGCCCCATACCAGGTCATCACCTGGTGACCTCTAGATAAGAATATGTTACCTTGAGCGGGAGGGCTTGAATTGTTGCCCTTCATCTGATTCCCATCCACCAATGAAAGATTCGATGAACCTAGAGAAGAGTAAATGAAGCCAGTTTGATGAACTGCAATGGAATGGGAGCAACTGTTTCTCCCTCCAGCTTTTTCAGCACAATAGGAAACCAGATAGCACAAAAATGTTTGCCAAACAAAAATCAGAAAAACATGTCTCCATTGGAGAGAAAAAATACACGTTGATATTTATAATCGTGTATATAAGCCACTAATCAATGATTTTCCATTTGTGAGATTGATAGGTTTCCCTCATTTATCAGCCATCTTCAACAAGGTTCTCCCGTCTCAGTGTCCATCCCCAACCACAGTGAGTTGCTCCGGTTTGGGGACTGCACCTGAGCAGGGTGCATTACAGTCCTTTCCTCAGATGCCACCTTCCAATTAAAGTGGTTTGGGTCGGTGGAGGGCACCCAACCCACCTGGGAACATTAGAAGACTCTGAGTAATTTTGGGATTGGAAACTTCCAGCATGATCATGACTAAGCAGACAAGGAACCCAGAACGTCAGCAACAAAGATGCTAAAAATCAAATTAAACAGATACAGATTATAGTCCTGGAATCTCGCACTTCAAAGAAAAGGAGAAAGGAGTAGAGCAAATACTGAGTAGAAGAAGAAACTGAACTAAGACAGCAAACAAGGAAACATACAGGGCATTGAATTGTCAACTGGCCCAGCACAGCATAGCCATTTTTGCAAGAAGCATGTTTCAATGAGGACAACCCAATGAAATCCACTTCCATCGAGTTGATTGTGAATCATCGTGACCTTTCATGTTATTGTTGTTAGGTTCTGTCAAGTTGGTTCCAACTCATAGCAACGCTACTTACAACAAAACGAAATGCTGCCCAGTCCTGCACCATCCTCATAATTGTTATGTTGTAATGCTGAAGCCACTGTGTCAATCCATCTGAATGAGGCTCTTCCTCTTTTTCTCTGACTTTCTACTTTACCAAGCACAATGGAACTTCCTTTCTCCCATGGAGCAACTGGGCAGTTGCATCGATGACCTGAGGTTAGCAGTTCAATGCTTACCCAAGATGCCAACAGGGCTCCTTTCAATGGGGGCAGGAACCTGATCATGGGTTTTCCTTGCCCAGGACTTTGCCAACACTCAGACCAGGAGAGGGCACCCAGTAGAGAATGCTGCCACGTTCTAGGGCCCAGCATCTTACCACGTTCTCAACTGGTAGTTCACACTGAACCGGACAGAGTGCTCTACCCACCTCAGCCTCCTTAGTTGTCAGATTATACCTTCTGGGAGCCCCATTCTTCCCAGCTTTCTTTTTTATTTTTCATCAATAAAACTTTTACGACACTGAACCTTGATTTCACATGGTTTTCATGTACAACTAAATACTGCACTTATGTTTTATTTCTTTCAATCAAGTGAATACATTAAAAAAAACATTTGTAGCTGATGGGCAAGGCAAATAAAGTAGGTAGGCTATATATGGTCTATGGCCATAGTTTGCTGATCCCTGTATTAGAGAAACTACCTAATATCTTGAGAAAGATTTATATTACCAAGCATGGTTCTCATTCTTCTACAGTTTAAAATTTCGAAGATTCTAGAGATGTCAAACAAGGACCCTTAGTGATGTAGTACATTTCAAGGTGGTGAGGTCAGCAGTTCAACTCCACCAGGTGCTGGTGGGAGATAGTGAGGCTTTCTCTTAAGAGGAAGTTCTACCAAGTCTACAGGATCATGTGAGCAAGAATGGACTGTAAGGCAGTGAAAAAGAAAAGAAAAAGGTGGGAGGAGGAGGAGATAACAATCCGACAGTGATAACAGGCTTTTCTTAGTTTGCATCTAGTAGCACTGTTTCTTCAAAAATGTTTAATATTTATCTTATTTCCCTAGCCAGACTTGAGTTCCAATCATAGTTCAACTTTCAACCCTGGTTTGCGCACTGATATAGTAATATAAAACCAGTATGTCTTACTTACTAATTTCTTTTCAAAATGCTGCAGAAATTATTATCAAACTTCCCTCATTGATTTCCCTCTATTTCTAGTAACTGAACATTCATCAATGACAATTTTTCAGTACATGGCCAACCCTTAGAAAAGGCTCACATTGAACAGCAAGTTATAGCTGATGCATGTTTCTCAGAGAGGTTTTACTTCCTAATTAATAAGTTTATCTCTGTTTAAACTATTATTCATGCTTTTAAAATACTTTTTGCTGTGATTGGAGTAAAGTTTTCAGAGGAAATTGGTTTTCCATTCAAGAATTCATACACACTTTGTTTGGTGATATTGATCGGATCCCTTCGATGCAACATCATTCTTCTCACTCTTCCCTATGTTTACTGTTGTCATCTTTCTTTGCTATGCCTTCCTGTCTTCTGTGCTTTTCCCCTGGACAAATGCACTGCTTTACATTTCATATGGTTGGTTGTCATAAAAAGTGTATACTTCTCTGGGTTGTTGTTTTTTAATCATTTTATTGGGGGCTTGTATAATTCTTATCACAATCCATACAACCATTCATTGTATCAAGCTCATTTGTACATTTGTTGCCATCATCATTTTCAAAACATTATCTTTCTACTTGAGCCCTTGGTATCAGCTTCTCATTTTCCCCCATGCCTTTTAAACCCCAATGTACAATTTACATCAATGTTACAACCGAAAAGTGGGTGAAGGGAGAAGTCGGACAGGGCAAGATATGACAAAATACCCATTTATAAACTATCAAGGGCTCATGTGGGAGAGGGGAGCGGGGAGGGAGGGGAAAAACGAGGACCTAATGTCGGGGGTTTAAATGGAGAGAAAATGTTTTGAGAAATGATGTACAAATACGCTTTACACAATTGATATGTGTATGGATTGGGATAACAGTTGTATGAGCCCCTAATAAAATGTTTAAAAAAAAAAAAAGAGGATGAGGAAAAAGAAAAAAAAAAAACATAGGGGTGAATTTGGTTCCACAATCAAAGGGTAAACAAGGACAATGTCTCAAGGGTTCCACCAGTCTCTATTAGGCAAGTAACACTGGTCTTTTTTTATGATCTTTATCTCCCATTCTGTTCAGGACCATCCATTATGACCCCTGTCAGAGTGGTAATACATGGGAGCCAAGTGGTTTTTCTAGTCTCAGGGTCCTTAAAGCTGAAGTTCACATTGTCTTTGGGACTAATTATTTCCATATTTTTTTGTTTTCTGAAACAATTTTCCCTGCTCCAGAAAGGAACAGAGTAATAATTACTCCTTAGATGGCCATTTACAATCTTTTATGATTCCATTTGCTTCTCACCAAAGCAAGATGTAGAATACTGTCATTGTAGACTATGTCATGCCAAGTGACCATGATATCTCACC